GCGATATTTGGCAAAAGTTCCTCCCGTCTTTATTTCCCTGACGCTGTGGCAGTTTGTTTCCCTACGCTCAGGTCTGGACACCCACCTTCACTTCATCTTTACTGGCTCGATGAACTGCAAGCTTTGATTCCATTTCTAATCCCACAGTCTAATCTGTGTCCACTTTTCATACTGATACCTTGCACTCCTGTCTTTCTTCTTTTCCAAGTTCTTCCTAATATTCATTATTTTCCATCTGAGGTCTTTGTACTCAAACAATGCCAAACACCAGGCCACACAGGCTGACACGGGTGGTGGTTGCTCCTTTTCAGTTACGGCTGTGTCCAGGGTCTGAGCTGCACTCATTATAGGTAGTGATAGACTGCGCCACTCTGCGGCTTAGCTACCTCTACCAAGACATCTGCCTAACTTGGCAGCAGCCCCAAGAAACAATTTATCTCTCAAAAAGTGACTTTTGTGTTGTTCTTTTAGTTCCAGAAAAAACCTCCCATTCCGTTTTGTGCATGTACTGAGCCTTCTCCAATCCTAAGATAAACCAGTAGGAGTTTCAGGACATACACAAAAAAAAACAAAAAACAAAAATATCATTTTCTGGTGATTTAGCTCAGTGGTATAAGCACCTGCCTGGCATGTGCGAGGTTGTGAGTTTGTTCCCCAGTACCTAAAAAAAAAAAAAGAAAAGAAAAGAAAAAAATATGTCAACAAAAAACCCTTTTTAGAACCCAGTAGCTTACCTCTCAAAACAACACAATACAGAGGTGACCTCCCTGCAGCTTGTGATACATGATTCATAAATGACAATGCAACCAACACAGACACTCAAAAGGGGAAAAACTATGCTACAGTCAGTGGTTCTAAGGTAACAGAGCCAAGCCCTGTGCCATCCAAAATATCTTCACAGGAAACAAAACTAATTGCCCTCACATGGGCCATCACACTAACTAAAGACAAAATCATAAACATCTATCCTGGCTCCAAAGATATGTTTAATATTCTTTACTCTCATACCATTTGGCAAAAAAGAAAACTAATATTCAAGGGACCCCCATTGCTAATGCACCTCTCATTCTCAAACTGCAAGAGACAACACAACTTCCAACACAGATAACAATCATTCACTGTAAGGGACACCAGCCACCATCAGACACTATCTCTCTGGTTAATAATTTTACAAACACACAGGCCAAATTAGCTGCACAACAGCCATAACTCTCCTCCTCTCCCCCTTATCTCAAACACCTTTCCCTTACCTCAGTATTCACGTAGGCAACCACAATTAATTCACAAACCCACTTAAATCAAAAGTCCTCCTCCCAGACCTACAGGCCTCAGGCGCCATCGCTAACATGCACAGCTGCTTTCACACAGACACTCAAGCCTTGTACAAACGTCTATCTCCAGTCACTACTCTTCCCTCTCCAAACAGGATTCAGCAGGTCACTCACGGCTGTCATCTTTGTGCCAAAAACTCTCCTCAGAGACACTGACCTGCTTCTTTCCCAACACACCGACCTCATGGACTCACTCAGATAAAAACTAATAGATTTTGGGGGCTGGGGATTTAGCTCAGCGGCATAAGCACCTGCCTTGCAAACAGACGGTCGTGAGTTTGATCCCTGGTACCGATAAAAATGAAAAACTAATAGATTTTACACATACACTTCATCACAAGATCTACCCGCCTCCGCCTCCCCCGGTCATAGCCCCGGTGATCTGTTAGTCCTTCACTCCCTCTCATTTTTACTGCTGGTTCTCATCTTCGCTGTCTGCTGTAGACCGTCTCTCCCTGCAACACCAACGCTCTCCTAGCGCCCGCTTCAACCTTTGATCTTACCCGCCTCCCGCTGTTCCTGCTCGTTCTCTTCCTAGCACCAGCTTTACTGACAGCCCCCTCCACAACCTCACTACTCCTCCCCCCATACATCCCACCCCAAAACCCCAAGTTCAAACCAAAACTCTCCAGTGCTACCACATACAACAAATAGCCCCAGCTCCAGCCAAGCCTCTCCCTGCCCTCTCTATGAGCTCCCCGATGCCCCCACCCTCCCCTCCACTGTCTCAAAACCGACAACAACATTCTTGTGATTGGCTGGCTGTGGTGGCACACACCTGTCATCCCAGCACTCATGAGGCTGAGGCAGGAAGATCACTGCAAATTTGAGGCCAGCCTGGGCTACTAAGTGAGCTGAAGGCCAGGCTGAATTGTGTAGTGATCTTGTCTCAAAGAGACAAAACAAAACAAAACACACACACACACCAAAACAAAAACAAAAAACCCTTGTGATGATTAACTACACAGCTATCAATACATCTATCATGGTTTCCTGTACTGTCAGCTTTACCTCTCCAACAAAAATGAGACAGAACTGTAACTAACAAAAGGCATCACTGCAGACAGAATCATCAAAAAACACACCTCCTTCCACCAACACCTTTTAGGGGAAACGCGGGTGCAAGCCTTTTATGACTGAGCGGGTCCCTCCACAGCCTCCTGTTTCTCTCGATGCCCACCAGGGCCCACTCCTGAGCACCTTGCTGACGCTGTCCCCCCACCCCGCGCCCTGGACTCCCCACACCACACTCTCCCTTTCCTCTCTCCTTAAGGGAACGATCCAGGCTCTGTCCAGCAACGTTACTATCCCTGGCAAGGTTTCTCCACCTGGTCTCTGAGGGGCTGAGCCCCTCTCTGCTCCTCTTCGGAGCCTCTATATTTTTACCTATAGCTCCCTGTCTTTTCAAACTTTTCCCAAGATTTGTTCCATCCAGGACACAGACCTTCACTACCAGGGAGCTCCTTGTCCTGGCTGAGACCCCGGCTCCAGCTTCTACTTGGCCTGACCCATAATCAGGCAGCTATAACGGACCCCCATGACCCCCTCCCCAGCAGGAAGCAGGCTGATCACCACCCCACTCACCCACAAAAGAGAAAGATGGAGACGATGGTTCTGCCAGCCTGGGGCTTAGCTGCCTCTGACATGGTATCTGCCCAGCTTGGCAGGAGCACCAAGAAATAATCACTCTCCAAAGTAACTTCTGTGTCATTCTTGTAGTTCCAGAAAAAACCCTCCCACTCCCCTGTCCTGCATGCACTGAGCCCACTCCAACCCCAAGATTCCACAACCACTCAAGTGCTCCACCTCCCCTCCCAATAAATTTTGTTTCCTGTTTTGTGAGCACAGATGCTCCTTCAAGCCAGAGGTTGATATGTCACTTTGCCCACTTCCAAAACTCCTCCCCAACCAGACCCGTAACAGTGCTCTCACTTCTTTATACACCCCTGAGGGCACTTGCCTTTCTTCTGCAGCCCTCCCATGTCCTCCAACAAAGGCTTCTTTTCTCTTTGTGTCTTTATTGCACCAAAATCTTATCAGGTACCAGTTACTGAGACACTCTGTCACAGCACCACATCCAATTCCCTCAACCTACAGCAAGTGCCTGCTGCCTGAGTTGTCCCTAATATCGTCAGATAAAGCTCCAGCCCTGGATTCTTTTTTCCAATCCCTTTGAACTAAGATGGTCCATGACTCTTCTGCATTCTCTCCTGCTGAACTGGGGAATGAATCCAAGTGGCTCAACTGTCCTGTGTCCCTCCTGGCTTCAGCTGACCAACACTGATGCACACATCATGCTGTCTTTCATATTTTCCACGTGATTTTGAGGTTGATCACTGTTATGCATTTGAAGATTGTTTTTGACCTAAGTAAACTTTACTTTTCTGTGTAGATTTTCACTTCTGGTCATGCTGAGAGAATCATTCTTTAACCCACACTTGTAAAACTGAATGGATATGCTAATGTAGGATGAGACGATGAGAACATGGCAAGTGAAGAGGAACATGGAGGCATCTCTGAGTTGTGGAGAAATTAGAGGTCCAAATGGGAGATGGAGAAGAGCTCTGTATCAGTCTGTAACTTATTTCTGTTACCAAAATACGTGAGGCAAGGAGACTTAGTACAGCAGACAGGTCCTGTTGTCCTACAGTTCTGGACGCTCAGTGCAGATTCGAGGATCCACAACTGGAGCTGTCCCTCCTGCTGGGAGTCTCGGTGTACAGAGCATCAGTAGGTGGGCGACACACTCCACCCTCGGATATGTGTGTTCTAGAGTCTGTCCATCTGTCCTTATGCAGCCGCCAGTCTTCAGTCACAGTGGCTCCATCCTGGTGACCTTATGTCACCCTAGGAGCCTCCGGAAGTCTCCCCTCTAACCCCCATCATCAGAGCGAATTTCCACCCTCTCAGTGCCCCCAGTGGGGGCAGAACTTTAACACCTGCACCTCGAAGAAGACGCTCAAATCTCATGTTCAGTCCACAGCAGGTTCTAAGGTAGAGGTCTAAGGCTTCAGACCTTTGCTGATAATTTTAGGAAAATGTCTTCAGGACTTACTGTCCTGTGTGTGGTCTGCAGTAAATATTAGCTCTGCAGTGAAGTGTAGAGTTATGGCCTCCTCATGTTTACCGGCTTAAGAAACCTAACATTTCAAGAGCCACACAGAAATACAGCCAGTAATTAGCTTAGGTGATTGGCGTTTTTTTGATAGTTCATGACCATTTGCTTTGGTTCATCTGTATACTCTAATTACTAAAATACAGATTCCCCTTTCTTAGGCTTGGCTTGTGTTAGAGATTTGTCTCAGAATCACACAGAAAACCCACAGTGATACACTTAAGTCTGTGAGTCTCAGTGTAGCTTTTTGGCAAAAGAGAATAAAAACTAAGCACGATCTCCAAATGAGCTCTCAAAAATGATATCTATTAGCGACATATGATTATTTACACTTAAATTTACGGCACAGATCTTAACTTCCTAGGGCACTTGTCACCTGTGCACAAAAGTAGTGGGTAAACTACGCGTCCCGGCCGTGGCAGCGCCCAGGGTGGAAACAGCCTCAAACAGCCTCGCCCAGCTCCAGATTCCCTGTGGTTTCACTTCTCTTTCTGCAAACTCCTGTCGGGCTCTTCTGCCTGGACACTGATGACGCGCCCGCGCTTGCCACGCCCATTGGGAAACAGGGCTCCCAGAGCAACCAATGAGCGTCACGGCAGTTTCAGTTATAAAGTCCTCACTCACTCCGCAACTCCGGAGGATGGTTGAGAGGGCGCACCAGGTGCTCCTGCTGCTGTCGGGGGTCCTGGTCCTGAGCGAGACCCGGGCGGGTGAGTGCGGGCGCAGGGAGGCGGGAGCGGCGGGGCCGGCCGGGAGGAGGTCGCGGGCTCACCGCCCCGCCCCGCAGGCTCGCACTCCCTGCGCTACTTCCGCACCGCGGTGTCCCGGCCCGGACGCCGGAACTCGCGCTTCTTCTCCGTGGGCTACGTGGACGTCACGGAGTTCGTGCGCTTCGACAGCGACGCCGAGAGTCCCCGAGAGGAGCCGCGGGCGCCGTGGATGGAGCGGGAGGATCAGGAGTATTGGGACCGACAGACAGAGATCGCCAAGCACACAGCACAGGATTACCGAGTGAGACTGCGGATCCTGGGTGTCCACTACAACCACAGCGGGGGCGGTGAGTGACCCCGGCCGGGTCAGAGGTCATGACCCCTCCCCGCCCTCGCGGAGAGTCCCAATGGTCCCAGGTGCCCAGGTCAGAGGGAGGCTACGAGACCCACGGAAACCCGGGTCCCCAAAGCGGGCCAGGGCTGCGACTCAGCTTCATTTTCAGTTTGGGAGAAAAATCCTCTGGGCTGGGTGGGGGCGGGGCTGACGTCGGGGCGGGGCTGACGTCGGGGGCGGGGCCAGATTCTCACACCTTCCAGAGGATGTACGGCTGCGAAGTGCGGCCAGAAGGGCACTTCCTCCGCGGGTACATGCAGTATGGCTACGACGGGAAAGATTTCATTGCCCTTGCCGAGGACCTGAGCTCCTGGGTGGCGGCGGACACTGCGGCTCAGATCACACAGCGCAAGTGGGTGGAGGACAGGAAGGCAGAGCACCACAGGGCCTACCTGAAGGAGGAGTGCGTGGAGTGGCTCCACAGATACCTAGAGAACGGGAAGGAGACGCTGCAGCGCGCAGGTACCGACCCTGAGGGACTCCCCATCTGCGCTCTGGCTGGGCCGGTGTCTCCGGGGAGCAAAACAGGACCCTTCCCCAGTACTGCTGCCCTCTCCTGCCCTAAGGAAGAGCACCCCTGGGATTGCACAGCTGATAGCAGATTGCTCCTCTGAGCCCCCTTCTCTCAGGAGAGGAAGAGTCTGTCCCTCATGGGAGGGGAAGATCCCTGAGATGCTGCTCACCCTGCCCTTCAGGAAGCTGTGAACCTGAACTCTCTCAGGCTTGTTCTCTGCCCCACACCCAGTGTCTTTGGAGGTCTGATGCTTATTCTGGCCTCTGTCTCCACCCACTCAGGGCAGAGGTCCCGTTCCTCCCCCAGAGACCTAGAGCCTCCTCCCCGGGCCGACTCACCCGAGTCTAACACTGAATACACCGTCCCAGATGTGCCTGTGTCCAGACTCGTGTCCTAGGTTTGCAGCCACCCCAACTACACTTGTCCTCTCTGTTCTCACGATGGTCACAGGAGTGCTGCCTGGAGTGACACAGGAAGAATGCAAAGAGCCTGAATTTTCCTGTCTTCCTCTCAGATCCCCCAGAGACACATGTGACCCGCCACCCCATCTCCAAGGAACAGGTCACCTTGTGGTGCTGGGCCCTGGGCTTCTACCCTAAGGACATCTTCCTGACCTGGCAGCAGGATGGGCAGGACCTGACCCAGGACATGGAGCTGGTGGAGACCAGGCCTGATGGGAATGGCAACTTCCAGAAGTGGGTGGCTGTGGTGGTGCCTTCTGGAGAGGAGCAGAATTACATGTGTCATGTGCAGCATGAGGGGCTGCATGAGCCCTTCACCCTGAAATGGGGTAAGCAATATGTTATGAGTTGTATCTGTCTGCATGATCCCCCAAATCCTCATGTGCTCATAGGTGGGTTTGTCAAGATGGCTGGATATGGGTGTGTGACCCTGGATGCAGGGTGTGATGACTGGATCACTCTGCTGTTCTGGGTGTGGCTGAGTGGATTAGGGAAGACAGCAGACCCAGCCTGGGTGTGAGTGGGATCCACCGACAGCCTCACAGCCTGAATGCGGTGAAGAGGGAGAAGCTTGCCTCGATATTTGCTAGTTCTCACCTGCATGCCATGCACTGTTTCTGCTCTGTGATGGCCTTGCCAGGCCTCCCTTCCTTGAAGTCTCCTGACTGTGGTCAGAAACTTCCAGAAACTGTGAGCTGAGATGAACCTTTCCCCCTGTAATCTGTAGGTATGGGGTATTTTGTCTCAGTGATGAGAAACTTAACTAAGACAGGAGGAGAGGTCACAGGTGCTCTTGTCTTGTCTGGAGACCTTCAGTGGGCTGAAGCTGGCATCAGGGCCCTGTCTTAGTCACTATCTCATTGTTGGGACACAATGCCTGATACCCACAATTAAAAGTGAAAGGGTTTATTTTGGCTTTCAACTTTGTAGACATTTCAGTCAAAACTCAGCTTGTTCCCAGGCAGCACTACTGGGCAGAGGGTCCTGGCACTGGAGAGCTGCTCATGGCAGTGCAGACAGGAGGTAGAAGTGGGGGAGCTGAGGAAGGAGAGAAACCCTGGTAAGCCACACCCTCAGTGGCCCCCCTCTTCCCTCAGGCCCCACCTCCTAACAGCAAGTCAGCTTTGAGCCCCACACTGCAGTCAGCTTCTAAATGCTCACATTTGCATGAGGCTTTGGGGTCCATTTAGATACAAGCAGAGCCCCTCACCTCCTCTTTCCTTCTTTTCTCTCCCTTTCCTTCCCCTTCCCTCCCCAGAGTCCCCTCCTCAGCCCTCCATCCCCATCCTGGGGGTCGTTGCTGCTGTGATTCTCCCTGTAGCTGTGCTCACTGGAGTTCTCTTTGTGGTGTGGAGGAGGAAGAGAGCAGGTAGGGGTGGGGTCAGCCTCTTCCTGTTTCAGCCCCAGGGAGGAGTGTGCACTACTTCCCTGTGGGGCGCCCCATCCACTCACACATGCTTGCCTAGCTCAGAGACCTGGGCACTGAGCCTGTTGTGAAACAGGGACAGTGAGGGACAGCTTGATCGCCTGGAGGGTGGTAGTGATGGGGACCTGATTCCCAGCAGGCAGGTCAGAGGGTAAGATCCCTGCTAGGACAGAGCTCCAGGAGGGCAGTTGGTGCAGGTCCTGAACATGTCCTCCCCTCGTGCCTCCTGATCCTTCCCTGGGTCTGCATCCCAGTTCTGGAAACTTCTCTGAGGTCCTGACCTGGGCAGTTCTCCCAGGCTATGATGGCCCTGCCTCCTCCCTTGTTCTCACAGGACATTTTCTTCCCACAGGTGTACAAAGAGGGAGTGACACTCAGACTGCAAGTAAGTATTGCAAGGGGCTGATTCCTGAGAACCTTAGGTTCAGTGACCATGGGGATCCCCCTCTCCATGATCCCCCTTCACCATGTCTGCTGGGCCTCTGATGGTTATTTTATTTTTCTCACCCAAATAGTGGCAGTGCCCAGGGATCGGACTCCTCCTTTGCTTCCACAGGTAAGACCCTGGAGGACCTGAAGTAAGGGGGGTGGGTCATGAGGCCTAGTGGACACAGTGAGCTCCCTGTCTGACTGTGAGCCCTGTGTGTGAGCAGCGGGTTCCTCTGTTAGTGTTTATCAGGACCTGGGTGTTGTGCCTGGTGTTTGTGTTCCCCCTGGGGAGCTGGTGCACATGTGTAACTCATCTCTGCTGTTTGCTTCTCTGTGCGCCCCCCCCCCCACATCCCCTGCCTTTATCTCTAGATCTCCACCTGTGTGCACAGAGCCTGTCTCTCAGTGGGCTCCTCAGGATGTGGTCCTGAATTTATAACTCTTTTGTCCCGTAGCGTGAGACAGCTGCCTTGCTCCCGCAAATACATATTGCACTACTCTCTGCTTACGGACCTCGAAATCACCTGAGTCACTTTTCTCCGGAGGGCTTCTGAGTGTGTCCATGTTCCTGTGGGCATCGGGGAGGGCCCTGGGCAGCAGGACTCCTGAACACTCGCTGACCCGTGTTCCCTCCTGCTCAGCTCCTGTTCCAGCAAGGGTGGGCTGGGGTGGCTCCAGCAGTGTCACGGTTCCGGAACAGCAGTCTCTTGCATGCTGTTATGAGAGCTGTCCACACGCCCTGGCCGGTGTAGCTCCACCTTGCTGTGGGCTGCTGCTCGGCTGTCCAGCCACCCTACCTGGACTGAAGCTATGTACAGACTCCAGCACAGCAAGGTCACTCATCTGGGCATGGAGGCAGGGATGCTGCACCCGGCGGGTTTCTCACAGCGATGAGATGGAATGGAGTGTGCACAGCTTCCCCCAGGGCCCATCTTATGTCTGATCCTGTTTTTATTTGAATAATGGCCCCACAATAAATCCAGCAGCTTAGCAAAGCAGGGCTGTGTGTGCATGTGGTTGTGCTGCAGCCTGCAGGTCATCCCTGTTCTGTGTGTAACAAGTGGGAGTCTGAAGCCTCCTGAGGCACATGGCCCTTCTCAGAGGCAGACATTTGTTTACATCTCAAGAAATCCACACAGCACACACTGAATGCAAGACTCAGAATATTCATGTGATTATGTTCTATTTCATGACTTCAGCGGTTGACCAGCTCATTAAAGAACATGTTCAGTGTTTGAGGGCAGCAATAAATGGGAGGTGGGGTCAGGAGAAGGCTGTGAGGAGCCAGGGCGGGTCTCCTGTCTGTAGGAAAGTGCCCAGCCACACCCAGAACTGTGCTGATCTGATGGAGCTGTGCATCTCTTAATCATGCTGATACTGTCCACCCCTCGGCAAACTGATGAGCAAACACATCTCTTTACATGGAACTCAGTCTCCAGACACAAAGACAAGTTCATGATCACGCCTAACATGTTACAGCTCTCCTGTGTACACACTGATTCCCTCCCTAGACCACAAGGCAAGTTTTCTTTAGGTGATACTTACTCCTGTGATTTTATAACAACATTACAACACAGGTTGACAAATACTAGCGTGTCAACATGTCAACATTGTGCTATGTAGGAAGCATGAGGTGAACACTATTGAAATTACCATCTCCATTGCTATAATGGACCACGAGGTCACACTGGTGTTTATAACTACCTTCTTCCCACTACCCACTCTGTATTCCCTGTATTCGTCAAGGACCCCAGCAAGTCTTTAATTCTTTCCTGGTGGAGTGACAGATGCCTGCACTCCTGAAGGTTGTGGACCATGTGTCCCCTGCCTGCACTGAGTTGTACTTTTCCATTGACTTTAATAACATAGTAATACTAGGAGATGCCCTCAGGTATGCCCTGCTTTCTAAGTATTTCATTCGTTCCCCCTGTTATGGAGCAATAGTCTAATTTCCCATTGGCACTCTGGATTAGCACCTCTCCCAACACTGTAACTCCCTTTACAGCTTGGTCAGACATGAGACAAGATGACCAATGGGCTGTGTTAGCTTTAGGTTCAATGGCATCATTGTTGTGCTGCCTGGTGCAAGTGCCCTCCACCCCGGGGGCTAAGGATTCTAGGCCAGCAGAACCTAAGTTTGTGGAATTAAAATAAAAAATACTGTTAGTGGATCATTAAGGTAAATGGCAAGTGGTACTGTCATTTCTGGGCCCCTGTGTCCTGACTAAGGGAGAAATAGTGCCATATAGTGGGTGATGATTCAAAGGGTATAAACCTTCTAAAAATCTTACCCTCATCCTGCAACCTACTGCCTCTTAGATGGAGCTGTAACTGTCATCAATAGGCCATTCTACCTTGCAATCCAGCTACTTCTGGATTTTAAGGAACTTGGAAAAATCGGTGAATTCCATAAGCGTGAGCCAATTGCTCATATATTTGCTCATAAAACACGTTCCTTGCTCACAGGCCATTCTGTCTGCAATACCACGGGGGTGGGAAAGGCACTGTGTGTGTCCATGGATGGGAGGATTGGCAAAAGCCTTCCATGCAGGGAAGGCAAACCCAAAGCCACAATCAGTGTCTACACTAGGAAGGACAAAATGCTGCCCTCTCTGTGATGGAAGCGTCCAATCTAATAGACCTGCCATCAAGTCGCAGGCTGATCAAGATCCTCAAGGGATGTCAGAACTGTATGTCCTGATTCGGCACAGTGGGCATCTGGGCATCTTCTTCATGTAATTTACCTGTAACCTCTGGTCATGCTCTAACCCAATCATCTGTACACTTCTTTCATTTGGATCTTAATTTGTATTTTGGGTTCCTTAGTTCTAAGTATGCTCAGTGTGACTAAGCTTAAACTAGAAGGAAATCAAAGAAGTAGAATTCAAGGAAGAAAATTTGGAAGTTTCAGGAGATCATATTGTGTGGAACTAATGATTCCCACATCTGTGCAAGAGAAAGGGAAGTGAAATTTACTTGGCAGCTGGATGGGGCAAAGTTTGTCACACGTAATCTCACACGTAATCTTCCTAACAGTGATGCATTCAGGATATATTTTCTCACCCATCATTTATGAGGAGGAAGTGGAGAGTCAGAACGGTTAATTAATAGGCTCAGCTCACACAGTCTGTGCCCCGCGCACCAGGACCCCAGGCTGGCTTCCTTTGGTTTCTACTCCATGCATCCATTCAGTTCATGCTTCTGCCTCTCCAACCCTGCAGCCCACAGTCACAGCCACACCACCGCAGCAGCCTGGGCAGATGAGAAATGCAGAGGAGGAGGGATCCTGTTTGTGGTCAGGAGACTGTCATTTCCATGCAGGAGATACTTCTGCAGGGCCACAGAAGTTACAGAGAGGAGGGACGGGCAGGGATGGGAGCCGTCTCCACGTGAGCAGTGATTGAGCCAGGTCGGAGCCTGAGCTACACTCCAGAGCCAAGCAGGAAGCCTCGACTCTGTCTCTGGCTGATGGCGGAGAATGGACAGAGTGCGGCACCAATGGAAAGAAGCTGAATGAGAAACCAGGAGGGAGATTATAGGAGGACATTTGTGAGACAGGGGACTGAGCAGGACATTCAGGGGGAATGGGAGTCACAGTGACACCTCCCTGAAAGCTGTGGCCTTAGAGTGACCATCTCCACAGAGTGGCCTGGCCAGGCCCTGCTCTCTGGGGCACACTGGGGGCTGTGGTCCTATTACCAACTCCCCACAGGCCCCACTGTGGGTGCAGGGCCCCTGGGTGGCTTCCTTCTCTGCTCTGTTCTTCTCCGAGTGCCATCTGAGGTCAGTAAGGGGCTGATGTGGATGCAGACTCAGGGCTCCTCACTTCTCCTCCAGTGTGGTTTGCACTAAGCCACAAGGGTAAACAAAGGCTGAGAGTCCCGGGAGAGGGCTTCATCTCTGCCTGCTCCTGTAATTCACAGGAAATACAGGATTCACACAGGGTCACCTGCATCACCAGGGTATTTCCGTGTGGGAACCATCTAGACACAGGGAGTGTGCAGTAACTGTGGACTAAGATTCAGAATGGCACCTGCATAGGGCCCTGACCGTGAGTGGAGCTCACAGGACAGGAAGCTGCTCTGGGTCACTCAGTGAGTGAGTGGTCAGTGAACATCGAGGTCCACAGTACTGCTGTCCATTACTGCAGATGTTACACACACTCTGCACTGAGGCTAGGCAGCGGGGTTGAGACTGACATCATCCTCCTGAGTGCAGGAGTAATGTGCCAGGCAGATGAGCAGTCCCTGTCCTCCCATTAGGAGAGGGGGCTCCCCTGACCCCAGCTTTCATCTTTTTTATTTTCCCATCCGTCTGCTGACCTTGCTCTGGGAGTGCCTATGGCTACCCTGGCATGTAGCATGTTACTGTGTTCAGCCTGCTCCATAATCCTGCTTTGGCTGCTGTCACTGCAGAAAACTCTGTTTAACAAAGACAGGATGGTGGAAATGGACACAGGATCTTCAGTGTTTTTTGACAGTTTCAGGATGCTCCTCCTTAACTTTTCACCAGAATCTAGGGAGACCTGATTTTGTCTCAAACACACTTTTAAGACCATCATCTATACGACCTCCAGTAGTCGACCCTCTTCTAGCACAAGCGAAGTCCGTTCACCAGGATCATTCACAGATGGTGGCAGATCCATTCCGTCTGAGCTTGGGGGTTCTCTGGGGTGAGGAAGTAATTCTCAGACTCTGAAAACTAAGATAAGTGATCACTCATCAACTAAGAAAGAAGGCCCTGGCTCAGTCTCTTTCAGAATCTTTGCAAATGATTGGGACCCACCAGAACTCCCAGTGTTCACTCACTGCCCCACGATTCCAGTGTGGCTTGGAATGCAGCCACTTCATCTGCCAACCTGGACACAGTAGTCCTCTGCCCCTGAGTTCATTAATCAGGGTCATTATGCCACACAAATAAGGAAGCTTTATGTCACATCACTGTTATGTGCTGCCAGGGGCGACTGTTTCCTAAGAGAAATATTGGGTGCACCTCTCATAATTCAAGCACTCTGACCAAGAATCTGCTTTTAGAAATCTACCCTGTCCCTGTGTAGAGGAGAAGACAGCTGTGCTCTGCAGCTCTCTCCACAAATGTGTGAACAGGTGGGAGTGAAGGGCATGGCTTCTGTAGTTGATAATATTAATCAGATGCTGCAGAGCTTGGTGGTGCTCAGGTGACATTTTTCAGCTGCCCGAGTGTCTAGGTGATGACACTGTGTGGAGACTCACTTTTGAAGTCTCCTCTTCCACCTGCATGGTGAGAGCACAAAGTGATGTGGTCAGTGTGGCCACCCCATCTGCACACAGGGACACAGCTGATCAACTGAGTCCCCTCATGTGTACTCATTCCAAGGCTTGAACAGATCTCTGGAGCTGCCATTGGTTGGCAGTAAAGGTGCACAGAACTCCCCCCCATGCACATCCTCCTGAAAACACTTCTCACAGAACCTAGCACTGCTGCCTTGGCTCTTGTCAACCTGGATTTTGTAGCGTGGTGGCCAGCTATCATCTCTGAGCATGGTGCTGCTTCTTCCATGGAGCCACTGATCACGGACTGGAATGTGAACTAAAATCCACCTCTCCTCCCTTCACTAGCAAGAGTCAGCTGGTGTGTTTTAGCCATGACAAAAGTGGCTGAGACATCTTAGGTCTTCTTGGATGGGGCCTGGCTCTGTCTCCGAAGGTGACCATGAGCTCTCAGATCCCAATCACCCTCCTGACTGCCCTCCTGAGGAGCCAGGACCTGCGGTGCAGCCCACCACACATACCTGTCACTTTTTAGGAGCCAGGGTAGAAAAGGAGGAAGCTTTCTTTCAGACCCTCTGGGCTCCAAGGCAGGCCAGATGCCCACAAGGATCAAAGGTGGCCTCACCATTGATGCTGCTCCTGCCCAGACCTCAGCTGAGGCCTCCATGGAGCAGAGGGGAAAATTCCCCTCGGGTCTCCAGAGGACATGCAGGACAATGGGGTGATGCCCAGAGTGTAGGGGTCCAGCG